CTCTATAGAATAGGCCAGCTGGGAAATGGAGAAAGCTGCCAACATGTGCAATAGATATCAGAATTGGAGACCAATTTACAGTAAGTGGGTTTAACTTCTTTCTGTCTTATCTTAGAGAAATGGTAAGAATCTGGAAGATTACCACCTAAAGCGAATCTCAATTGACAGCCAGTAGTGTTGTCCCCGTATCCCTGACAAAGCTTGATTACTCACCTCTATCAACTTGAGAGACACTTACCTTCATGTTCTGAGCATCTATCTAACTGATGTCTGCCTCTGTGCTGATAGAAAAACCCAATAGATGCATGCAACTCACATTCGGCTGCCTCTTTTTCGATGTGGACACCACAAAGCTAGACAGAAATCATAATTTAGTGGACCATTTGGATGAGGGTCAGGGGTTTGTGCAGTTATTTTTGAAGGCACTGACACCTGTGTGCTTAGCTTGTGGGCTTGCCTTCATTAAGAAAAGTGTGGAGAAGGTCAAAGTGAGAATCACAACACAAGTGTTGAAGGGAAGACACGATGAAACCGAACCGAGGAAGAGTGGACACAATCAATTTCTCCTACAAGGTTCCACACAGTGACACACTAGACGTAAGTGATTTTCATCATTTACAGGGGGTAGTTGGTGAGTTTAATGCCGTCCGAATCCAGGATGTCAGTGTTTTTCTCTCACCACCCCCGTAAAAATCCCTGGCCGAATTACCTACTGTTTTTTGACAAACACCAAGGTCGTGTGGTAATTTAATTGCCGTCCGAATCCACATCTCTGAGTTTACGAGAAGAAATCGATTCAAAATTCAGTGTTTAAACCCTTTTAAGGTAACGTTGTACTTCTGTGTAATTCGCATACATATTTATTTCTGAAATGCTGGAAAGTATTTAAAAGAACAATACTTCATAACTGCTCCACCACAGCGACCGGGAGCAGAAAGAGAAGAAAAGCACGTAAACATTCGAAATGAGTCTTTATCATGGCAGCAGTAGGTATGCAATACAATTTTAAAATGTGTATTATAAACAGATATATATCACGTATAATTATATACAACTATAGCACGTCTATTTTCCTATTTTTAAACAGGAGATTTAAATATTCAAATAATAAATAGGATTATATATTATAAAATATGCTTGGAATAATAAGAATACATTTTACATAATAATAAGTATTTTTAAATACATTTTATACAATGATAAGAATACATTTGTAAATAAAATTAATTTTATTTACAGCAGACAATCATGCGACTGGCCACGTGAGCAGTGCGTTCCCGGGTTCGTAGGATCACAAAACTCGCTCCTCCACTGTGAATAAATCGCCATCCGAATCCATGAGTTTTATCACTGAGGTGATATGTAAATTTATTTTTACAGACGTCCATATGAGAAACAATTACCGTCCGAATCGGGCTTTAGAGTGTAATGGATTATAAAGGAAGAAAGTAGGCCATGAACTTTGTTCTATGCATCATTCTACATTCACACTGTCACTTTTTGGGACTGACAGACAACTGCATTTACTTAACAGGTGTGAGTTTCGAAATGCCCCGTCCCACAGCAGCTTACAGTAGCGTCTCGAATACTGTCTGTATGAACAACAGGAGTCATTCCTTACCAGTAACCATAGCAACAGTGACCAAAGTAATATCAAAGATGGTGACGTCCTTAAAACTGAAAGTCTTAAAGGGTTAGTTCACCAAAAAAATGAAAATTAGACTTAGAAAATTTGAATTAGAAAATTAAATGAAAATTACTGTTTTACTCACCCTCGAGGCATCCTAGGTGTATATGACTTTCTTCTTTCAGACAAATCCAGTCGGAGTTATATTAA